TCAAACAACATTGCCTAAAACCTTTTAGGCACTATATTTGCAATGAAAGGGTTATCTTTTGGTATTTTTTACATTCCCCAATCTCAGCTCAAATAAAAAAAATTCTAAGGAAATTTCAAGAAAATTTACACGTTTTACTCTTTATTATATACAGACAATATTAAATCATGTGAAAAAGCAAACCGATCAAATTAAAAACAATAGACTTCAGAAAATATTATGTATGTTTAATTTGCATATATTGACAAAACAATGTGTAATGTTTCTCTAAGAATATAATTAGATTGTATGTGCAATGCAATTCAAACTTCCATCATCAAAAAGATACATCGACTAAATCAAATAATGCTTGTACATCCTCATTAACATACTAACAAATTCAACTAGAATTTTTTTATTTTTTTTATTTATTTTTTTTAAATCGACAATATATCAGCCAATAAGTACCAAATAGGCAAACATGTTCTAACAATACGTCCAGGTGTATAGTCTCAATTTTCTGAGTGGCATTCAGAATAAATATGCCAAACTGGTAGTTTCCAAGAAAGTTGGGGTAACGGTAAGGGTTAGGGGTAGGGGTCAGGAGTAGAGGTAGGGTTAGGCAATTGCCCAAGTCTAGAATTCCCGAAGTGCCGAACCGAACCAAAGTGCCGATTTTCCGAAGTCCCGAATTGATGAAGTCCCGAATTGAAGTCCCAATTTTCGGAAGTTGCGAACTGAACCAACTTTTTTGCCCATGTACACCCCTACTGATAATTACAGGGCTCCATTCACACTGACTGTAAGCTTTGTAGTTTGGTTGCTGTCCCAAGTCCATACTACTATTGTGTGCCAGTGTAACACTATTGTATGGAAATGAGGCTGTGGTGGTATAATTAGATGTGTTCTTTTCAATAAAGGTTGTTGTTCTCCCCTTGTCTAACTGTCATCTAGTGTTTGTGGAGTTCGGCTATAATCATTATAGTTTCTTCTAGCCTGAAAGGACTTTATCGTAGATACTCAGCTGAAGTATTGGAGCTCCACTCATAATGGAATCTTTTCTGGGCTACACAATTGGGGGCTCCTACCCCATTCACAGGAACTGTCTAGACGGAATGATGTAGAATATAACTATGAGTTACTTAGGACACTCTCCATACTTGGAGATGTTATCACAAACAATTTTATTTTACACACTGTTATGGGCAAATGCAAATGTTACAAGTTTTAGAATGAAATGTTGTATTTCCTAAACTGTGTACTTTGTCTTTAAGAAATATTGCAAACTGACAAGGTTTTAGAAATGGAACATATTTTTATACAATGTTTCTTTTATAAATGACCTATTACCCATATTCAGTGAATATGGTGTTTACACTTTAGGACGCCATCTTGTCCTAGATTAGTTGAATTACCCAAGTCAGGGAATTTCCCATGACGTGTGCACCCTTATGTTTTAGTTATGGCCTTGTATCTTTGCCAAGTTAAGGGAGATCCTAAAATTAATAAAAGAAAAAAGAGATGTTTTCCTTTTCCATATATGAACTACGGTAACCTTAAAATGAAAAAAACGTCTAAGGTATAAATATGTGTACTTATTATTAAATATTAGGACACAGAGGAGAGATTTTGGAGATAGAGACGCTGCTCCATTTTATAATGAGAGAGGTTGACATGTTAGAGGGTATGTTATTCTATTTTAATGATATTGCAAGCATATAGTTTAATCTTATAAACTCTGCTATAACTTATTGTAATGGATTTTATATGTCTATATTTATATTTTTTATTTAATAAAATATCTAAAAAGACAAAACTTTATTGCTTCCAAGACAATCCTTATTTTATATTGTATTCTCAATTTATATATTTTAAATAGAGGATCTCTTACTAACTATATAATATTATGGCTAAGATATCTGTATAGTTAGCCCTGCTAAGTTCTATTCTTTAAGACGTTATAGTGGTAAATAGGGGAACCGGCTGCAGTTACAACACATTAATGCAAAAAAAACCAAGAGAACATCAAACCCAATTAAAACAATCTGCTAACATGGGACACTTAAATTATATTTCCATTGGAAAGAGAACCTAGTTATGACAATACCCCACATACCTATACAGCAGGAATCTGATGAAATAACATTGTCAATATAGAGTACCACTATGGGTGACAGAGACCCTAAAGACCACTGCCAATGCTCCAGCTGAGGCTATTTCTACTCAGACACTTAAAGCAGAAAAATGCTAAATTTTTTTTTTCAAAATACCAATTAAAGGGATATTAAAAAAGGATTGTTAATAATAGTTGAGTAAACCCCCAAATGAAGTATAATGGGCAGTATGCTTAAAGCGACACTATAGGCACCCCACCATTTCATCTTATTGAAGTGGTCTTGGTGCAATTTCCTTGTCCCCTTTATTCCTGCAATGTAAAACATTGTAGTTTTAGAGAAACAATAGAGGAATTTTTTCATGAAACGATGTTGGACATTCTCACACTCTGCTTGAGGACTTCCAG